GGCTTCTTTGTGTAGCTCTGGCTGTCCTGAAACTCACTATAGGCCAAGCTCATCTAGAACTCACAGAGATCCACCTGCCTCTGCCTCATGAGTGCTGGGATTCAAGGTGTGCACCACCACCGCTGGGCTTCTGCTTTGTTTTTAAAGATACAGACCCTGCTCTGCTGTCACTTGGTCAGCATCTGGAAATACTCTTGTGAAAGACAGCAGTTAAGCCACAGGAAAACTACCTTACTTTCTGAAGTCTGTCTGGCCTAAGAAAACTGTGTGACTGTGTGTGGGTACCAAGCAGGGTTAAGCCAGATTAGCATGAGGAGCCTTTGGAACAAGACTAGTTCTGTTGTATCTGTCTGTGCACACAGGTGACATGTACAGTCATGATGGAAATGCTGATGAGCCAGAATGGGTGAAGACAGAGCGAGAACAGTTTCTTGAGTTCCGAGATAAGAACCGGGACGGGAAGATGGACAAGGAGGAGACCAAGGACTGGATCCTCCCTTCGGACTATGACCATGCAGAGGCAGAAGCCAGGCATCTAGTCTATGAGTCAGACCAAAACAAGGTAAGTGATTCCAGGCCCAAGCAGTTTAGCCATGACCAAAGTCTTCCTAGGAAGTTGCCTTAGACAGATGTCATGAAAATACACCGAGTATTTTTAGGGTCTTAATTACCTTAAGTCTACCAAGGACCTAAATTTAATGACCAGAAATCTTCAGAACAGCACTACCTATCTGATCTCATTTTGGAAAGTGTTTGCTCTGTGCTCATAGTGTTGGAGAAACCTGGGCTTCAGCAGAGTGTTGATTTAAAGCCTGACCCAGCATGCATCAGCTTTACCTGTTGAATCCCCAGGACATTGTCTTTTTAAATTCTTGGCTGTTATTTCCTATGTTCTTTTACCTATTACAGGCTCATTCTACCTATTGTCCAAGCCAGTTATTGCCATCCTAAATCAAATACACACATACGTTTATGTAATTTTTTAGAGGAAGCGAGGCAGACAGACAGTTGACTGACTGACTGAGACTCTTAAATACATAGCCCTTGCTTGCTGGCCTGAAACTACAATGTAAACCAGCTTGGCCTCTACCTCACAGAGACACACTTACCTCTCTCTCCAATGCTGAGATTAAAGGTGTATTCCGCCACTCCCAAAATCAAATACATTCTTAAAATTTAAGCCCTTTACATGGGGTTATAAGCCAGATTTTCTCTGGACCCTGTTAAAATTGAAAATTGTCTGAGGTGCTTAGGTGAAATTTTAGGTGAAATCAAATTTTCACTAAGCCCTGTCACCTTTTCAGAAACCTGGATATTAAAGACCAACTTTATTATTTTTATTATTATTGTTTTGAACATTCTTTAGGCTTCAAATGCTGTTTCTTAGACCCTTATTAAGGCTTGATAAGTTTTAAGTTCTTGCTCAGCATCACTTCAGCAGCCTGCTGTCATGTCCTGAGTTGTGAGAAATGTGAGCAGTCCTCTTTGAGGAGTCGTGGTGCTGGTTGAGATGAGTGACAGCCTGTTTTGGTTGTGACTCATGTTGTTAGAGTGGAGGTGATAGAAGAGAATTCACTGTCAGGCCTCAGTATGATGCGCCCTGGACTATCAACACAATGTTCCTGGCCATTGTCCACCCATATCCAGCAGCTGCCCCATAGTTCTGACTCCAAAAGGAGCGTTTGCTGCCTAGGGGACAGATTTGTGTCTCTGTCCTGAAGTTGTTAGTGTATTTGGCCCATCTTTTCACTTTTGACACTTTTTTTCCTTTGAGATAAGATCTCCCTCTGTACCCCAGGCTAGCCTTGAACAACTCTTCTGTCTGGCTTTCTGAGTACAGGAGTCAAACCTAGGGCCTTAGTCATTCGAGGCAAGCACTTTACCACTAAACTATATCCCCAGCTCACTAGTGACTTTCTTGATGAAAAAGATGCTGGTGTATGTGTGTGCGCGTGCGCGTGTGCGTGCATGCATGCAAAGGAGGGATGGGGGATAACACTTGAGTTTGCATGTAGAGGGAACTAGAATCTTAAGTTATTACAGTCTCAAGTTATTCTTGTTTTGTAGCAGTCTTTCTGAATTTGGATAGCAAGTATATATGACCTCAATTTGCTGTTCCCTGTGATTTCAGGATGGCAAGCTTACCAAGGAGGAGATTGTCGACAAGTATGATTTATTTGTGGGCAGCCAGGCCACAGATTTTGGGGAGGCCTTAGTGCGACATGATGAGTTCTAAGCTGCAGACAGAGGAACCTACATTTCTTCAAAAGTAATTTATTTTTACAGCCCTGGTTTCACATGAAATTGTTTGCGCTACTGAGACTGTTGTTACAAACTTTTTAAGACGTGAAAAGGCATATTGAGATAATGAAAACCATCCTGTCCCCATTCCTCCTCCCCTCTGAGGGACTGGAGGGGACCCGTGCTTCTGAGGAACAACTCTGACTAGTACACGTGTGTTTGTAGGTTTACACTTTGTATAATGTATAACATGGTGTGTTTATTTTTGTATTGTTCTCTAGTTGGGAGTATAACATGAAGGATCAAGATCCTCGACCCACACTTGTAGACAGATATTAGCCTTCACTCTTTCTCACCCCTTACCACACATTTTTTTGTAATTCTCACTTAACTAATTTTTTTAAAAGCCTGAGATCAATAGAAATGTTCAGGAGAGAAAAAAAAAAGGAAAAACCTGTACTCGTGATTTATGTTTAGAGAGAGAACGCTTTATCTTGCCTGTTGAAAAGCTTCATTTTACAAGTGGCCGTTCGGTTGTCACAGGTCAACCCCTGAGCCTGCCGCCGTCTTGGCAAGGCTGGATCCCCATGCTGTAGAGCAGCTTGACGCAGCGTGACTTCATTCTCCCCCCCCACCCCCCAGGACTAGCTGTTTGCTAATTCTGTCAAGCACAGCTGTGGTGGGAAGAATTGGGGCCAGTGTCTTGAAAAATGAATCAAGTAGTGTGTATGATCTCTTCACAGGGCTATTTCTAGCTCTTTATAGAGATGTTTCCAACTAGAAACAGCTGGAAAACGAAAGGAAAAAAGTGTGTGCAGGGCATGCATTTTATTCTGATTGTGTACCTATTGAAGTCACTGTAAGACCCCATCCAGCCCCTCCCTAGGAATCAATCTTGCTTTTACTGCAATTACAATTGACTCTTTTCCAATCATGTCATTGAAAGTGCCTTTAACGGGAAAAATAATTACTGAATGGGAATTTGCTTAAAAAGCCACAAGATGAATGACTTGGGCACCTTACATGAACGCATTGAACCCTGATACAGTGGGGAGTTTTTCCCTTCTTTTTCTCTTGTGGACAACAGCTAAACAGCAGTATTAGTTCCAAGCTTGGTTGCAGTGTTCCTGTCTTGTGGGCTCGTTTCTAAAACCCTCGTGCTGCTGACTTGTCCAGGGATCCTCATACCTCAGAACACAAACCACTCTGTCAGGCCTCTGCTTACCAGAGCTTGAGCTCTGACTCAAGGATGGAAGGACATACAGAGGGCTCTATGGTTTGAGGACCACTGCTCACCCTTCCTGTCTTTAACCCATCGCATCCTGTTTCGCCATCTCCCTTCTCTCTGACACTAAAAGGTGGGGTAGGTAGGAAGGTCGTGGACCATCAGGTTGCCGTCGTCCTTATCAAAAACCCCATCTGTTGCCAACTCCATTTACCCATATTTTGTGCAACCCAATATTTTGGTCCCTTACTAATGGGCCTCTTAAGAAGAATTATTGTATTCCAAATCTTTAACCCTCAGGTTACTAAGATAAATATATATATATATGTATAATCTTTATTATTTCCTATATCTGAATAACACATTCAGGTGGTGCTGGGTGATGGTCATATCTGAACCTAGACCTACCCTTTGGTCTTCCGCAGTCCTGTTGAGGTCGGCTGCTTGGTGTGGTAAAGAGCCAGGTGTGGTGTGACTTCACCCCAGCCATTGCATCAAGCTCTTGATAGCAGATACACTCAATGTTTTAATCCCAGGATAGGAGTAATGAACATTCTCTGCCTTCCAGATCCTCAACTCTTTATTGGTAAGGAGACCAGAGATAATTAATGCCACCAGCCCTGGCTTAGAGAGGGTGCATCATACACTGTGTGGCAAGAGGGCCTTACAGCTCGTTGGGTGCACAGAGCCTAACACTGATGTAAAGTCACACACTTAACCAGCAAGTTTAGTGTGTTAGGGCGACCTGTTCTGGACATGGGGTGCTCAGCGGCAAGAACTGCTCTCATCTCCATGAGCCCCACGTAGTGTTAAATCAAGTCTGAGGCGGTGAGCAGTGGCTGCATGTCCATAGGGTGTGCTCTGTGAATGCTAAGCTCTCTTGAATTTGAGTATTGGTTCTTTTTTATAGAGTGTAAACCAAGTTTTATATTCTGTAATGCAAACAGGTACCTATCTGTTTCTGAATAAAACTGTTTACATTCATCAGGGGCTTATGTGTCTTTCATTCTCTTGGAAATGGGATTGTGTTCCAGGACAGCCAAGGCTACATAGCGAGACCCTGTCTCAAGAAACCAAGAAAGGGCTGGAGAGACGGCTCAGCAGTGAAAAGCACTGACTGCTCTTCCAAAGGACCCAAGTTAAATTCCCAGCACCTACATGGCAGCTCACAACTGTCTGTAGCTCCAGTTCCAGGGGATGTGACACCCTCGCATAGACATACATGCAGACAAAACACCAATGCACATGAAATAAAAATAAATCATTTCTTAAAAAGAGAAGGATGGAAGAAATGGGATTGTGGCTTAGAATTCTGTGGTAAAATGTCAAAGAAAAGGAATTCTCCCAGAAGGTCCCCGATATCTCCCCACCAGGCTGAGAGAGAACACTGACTTCTCCTCACACTTAGTCCCTTCCTCTTCCTGAGGTTTCTGGTTGCTTCTCACTGCTGTGACCCTCCTGCCTTCCAGTGCATCATTACCTGATACTGGCACCCAGCATACCTTGAGTAGAATTGAACACACAGTTATCTTGGTTTTCATTTCAAAGGAGCTCATTTTTCCAGGAGCAGCAGGTGTAGGAAGAGGGTAAGGTAAAATGTTTTTAGCACTTGAGTTTGATTTATAAATGGTACTGAGACATGCAAACTCATTTTGAGGACGTCACAGGATTAAAGTGCTAACTTTAATCAATGCACAGCTTTAAGTGGATACATTCATTTAGCCAAGTGGAGGAGAACGCCTAGAATAATTCTGTCTGAGATGAGGGAGCAGAGGCAGCTCCGGCCATGGCCGCCACAGCCTAGGCTGCAGCAGCTAGGAGACACCGCATAGGTAAGTTCTTTTCAATTCCCTGTAGGTGCTTGGTGGTCGCTGCCTTTTTCCCACTGCCCCAACCTTACAGCAAGGGAGAAGAAAAATGACTGAAAAGGAAAGTGTCACCCATATACCAGAAGCAGCCCTTTCTCTTAGAGTTCTCCAGGAGTGAAGTGCCCCTTAGGAGTAGAAACCGTGACTGTTGAAATGGCCCGCATGGCAACGGCAACAGCAACCTCGCTGGCAGGAAGTCAGCAACAGGAAATGAGACTGACTGCCGGAGTGCTACTGCTCCCTTCCCACCTTTCCCTGCGTTAGGGTTTAAATGGAGAAGGTAGAAACTAAATGTGTTGCCAGCAGGCCAGTTGAGGGTCCTTAGTGAGGGCCAACTTTGCTGGAAGAGACAGTAGAGACTTCGGTTTTCTGAGAGCCAGGCATGTCGGATTCGTCTGTCATGGGCTTTCTGCACACCATCTCCAGGATGCAAGCCCGGAACTGGAAGGAAAGGTGTATGTCATCCTTGTCCTAAAAACTACGTAAACTCCACTTTTAACTACTTGCTCTTGCAGGCTAGACTGCAAAAGGCCAGATTAAGAATTTGCAGAAGGCTGGGCATACATGGCAGTGCACGCCCTTAACTCCAGCACTTGGGGACAGGCAGGCTGATCTCTGAGTTCAAGGCCAGCCTAGTTTCCATAGAAGTTTGAGGACAGCTAGGGCTACACAGTTGGACCCTATCTTAAAAAGGGGGGAAATTACAAAAAACTAGAAGTCTGTTATTACTGATGTTATTGCTTTTTCACCATAACAGAAAATTTAAGGGTAGGGATATATAACTCTGTAGTAAGAGTATCTGCCTAGCATGTAAAAGGCCCCATGTTCAATCCTTAGCATTGCTAAAAGGCTCCCATCCCATTCTACTCTTTAGAACTACTCAATTTTTCTAGCTCGAAGTCTAGCCTCTCTTCGAGTATTTTAGAACCACCCTCTCCATACATGTGCCTACCAAGAGCTTCCTGGCTTGCTTGGAGCTTATGTAGTTTTCCTCATCTATAAGGCCTGTGTAGCGTCCAGGGTGCTGAGTTAAAACATCGTCTAATAGGGAAAGAACCAGGGTCTATTGGCCCAGGACCTCATGGGAATGTAGATAGCTTTACCTGCTTATTCATGAAGCAGTAGATGATGGGATTGTAGACACATGAGCTCTTGGAGAAGAAGGCAGGGATGGTGACGAGCCGTAAATCCAGCCCGTGGTTACGGTTGTTGACCATGTACATGGCCAGGGCAGCATAGGGCACGTAGCAGAGACAGAAGGATCCCACCATCACCACCACCATGTGGCTCACCTCCCGCTCAGCCTTCTGGGTCGTCGATGACTCTTGCTGCTGAGCTGCCACCTGGAATGGAGCCCAAGGGTCATGACCCTCTCACCCGCTCTTCTGGCTGAGTGGCTTTCCCTCGAGGGAGGCGTCATGGAGACGGGTCTCAGCTCTGGCATTCAGAAAGATCACAGCCTCACTCCCTCTTTCTTGGGTCTTTTACTCCTTCCCTCGCTGCCTCTTGTGCTGGGGACCAGACCCTCACCTGCTACGGAAGTGCTGTACCACTGAGTTGCAACTCCACCATTTTTCACTCCCTCCCTGCTCTCGCTAGCTCCTGATGTCTGACCGTGGGCGTCCTGCGGCAGACGCGTCCTGCGGCAGACACACACGCTCTCTGTCCCGGAGCCTCCTCTCAAAGGCCACTCACAGCTCTGAGAGTCCTCAGCAACTGCGAGTAGGAGAAGCAGATGAGGGAAAGCGGCACGATGAAACAGAACACTAACAGGAACCAGGTGTAGTACTCGCTTCCATACTTGGTGCCCACCGTGTACCAGTCCGGGCCGCAGGAGCACTGCAGGCCTTCGGGGATGAACCTGAAACGGACCAAACATTCACTCTGGACTCGCCCTGAGAACGAGCAGGGTAGGAGCTGGGATTCCTGGGTTAGCTTCTCCAGTTGGAAGAATGCTGAAAGAATATACTCATTCCAGCTGCATGGTAAACTCCCATGTCCCCAGCTGCCCCTTTCCCTTACTTACTCTACCAATGCAGATCCAAGAATGAACGGTTCTACCCAGTCTCTTCCCACATCAGACCACCGCCCTGCACTCTCACCTGCTCCAGCCAAAGAAGGGTGGGATGGACACGCCGATACCAATGGTCCACGTGGTCAAGACCACCATCAGTGCATGCTTGGAGTTGAAGCGGACGTTGCCAAAGGGCTTACAGATGACAATGTAGCGCTCGAAAGCCAAGAAAGCCAGTGACCATCCTGTCACTAGACCTGTGGCAAATGTGAAACAAATAGGATAGACAGCCTCACCCAGCCTGGAGCGGAGTACAGATGGAACTGAGCAAGTTCAGAGAATTAGAATGGAGTGGGATGCTCACACATCCTATTTGGGTCAAACTACTCAGGGTAATTAAGGGCCTGCTCCAAACCAAAAGTCCGGCTCCAGGTTCCAATCCTGGAGCAGCATCCTTTGCCTCTTCCTAGCCCCGGTTGCCTGTGGTACCTGCTACAGAGCCCAAGAAGGCCTCCAGAGCACAAACATGGCGTCCAAAGAGGAAGTATCCGTGGCAGCTGGCGATGAAGACGGTGAAGACGGAGAAGATGCAGAAGAGGAAGCCCCCGAGGGATACGTTGACCAGAATGTAGTTGAGGGGCTGTCGCAGCTTTTTGTAACGCAGTGTGGCCACCAGCACTGTGGCGTTGAGTGGGGTCCCTGCAAAGAAGACAAGTCCCATGAAGGCTGCCTGGAGGCGGAAGGCCCAGACAGGAGCGATGTGGTACTGGGGCCCCTCCCAGGGCCCCACCGAGGAGATATTCTGAAACAGGTAGAACTCATCTTCCCCTGACATCTTGTGCTCGGGACGCCCTCCCCCCGACCTCCAGTCCTCTTACAGATTCTGATATTGCCCTCCCCACAGTACCTTCCTTTAAAGACACAGTGGGACTTGGAATGAACCTAAGCCTCCCAAAGATGAAGTCATCCCACCCTTCTTTGGCTGGATTAGAGGCCTCTCCATCCCCACCTAAACCTTCCGTGATCCCAAAGCTGATTGTGTTCTCCAGAGGATAAAAGATTGGGGTCAGAGAACCTGGATACGCAAGGCTGGGTGCTGAGGTGGGTCAACGTTGGTTTCTGTGGCCTGGAAGAGGCCAACCTATGTCCACTGCAGATGCTGCCTACATCTCATCCCCACCTCTGCTTTGGGTTTCAGGGTTCTCTGTACCCCACCTGGCCCTTTGTAGGTCCCTATCCAGAGAGGCTGGGAATCTGCCTCAAAGGAAACAAACAGAAAGAGGATGAGTGGGGAGCATTTTTTAGATTTTTTTAAATTATTTTATTTCATGTGCACTGATCTTTTGCCGGCATATGTTTGTGTGAGGGTGTCAGACTCCCTGGAATAGGATTTACAGACAGTTGTGAGCTGCCATGTGGGTGCTGGGAGTTGAACCCGGGTCCTCTGGAAGAGCAGCCAGTGCTCGTAACCACTGAGCCATCTCTGCAGCCCCCGTTTGTCATGGAACATTCCAGAAGCAGCTGCACCCTGCCTAGGGGTCCAGGGTGTGCCTGAGCCACCTCTGTGTCGTTGGCCCTCTGCCTGAGGTCTTCCTAGCTGGACCTCCAGGCTGCCCCTTAGATTAGAACAGGGGTCAGGGTCACTGTGGGGTGATGGACGCCACACTCAGCCTCACACAGAAGATGGAGCAGTGGAAACAGGTAAGGCCACAGTCTCCCAAAGCCTGCCCCTCGTGAGGGAGACACTTCCTCCAGCAAGGATCTACACCCTGAAAGTTCCATTACCCTCCTCCATCATCAACTGTGCACCAGGCGTTCGAATACACGAGCCTATGGGGACCATTTCTCATTCAAATCACCCCAGCAAACTAAAGTACGAGGGCTCGAAAGATGGCTCCGTGGTTAAGAGCACTTGCTGCTCTTACAGAGGACCCAGGTTTGGTTCCCAGCACCCACATGGTGGCTTACATCTGACTAACCCCAATTCCAAGGAGATCCAGCACCCTCTTGGCCTCCACAGGCACCAGACATGCACACAGTGCTCATACATACACATAAGTAAAAAAGAAAAGAAAACTTCAAAGAGGATTTTTTTAAACGGAGTTTGAACACAGGTACCCTGCACACTGAACAATGCTTCCCTCAAACTATTCAGGTTATTCAGTGAGTGTCTCAGCATCAGGCATGAGATGCCTCCCTACAAGTCCCTCAGGTCCCTGACAACAGCACACACTACTGCCACTGCTCTTGGATGTCCACCAGAACTAGACTGTTAAGACCCTATCTCTGGCCAGGCGGTGGTGG